CCCAACATTGCTCTCTCCATGGCTCTTTGTGTCTTCACTATCTTATCCATGTTTGCTTTGGTCAGAGTCCATGTTTGGCATGCGTATGTGAGAATTGGGAGTATGCACTGGTCAAACACTCTTGTTTTTAAGTACTGTTGTATTTTCTTATTCTTTAGGACCCATTTTAATTTCCCAAATCCTGCCCAGGCTAATCTGACTCTTCTTTTTACCTCCGCTGTTTGGTTTTCCTTATTTATTTTTATTATCTGTCCCAAATATATATAATCATTAACCGCTTCTATTGTGATTCCATTTAGTATTACGTTTCTATTATCTTGTGTGTTTGTCATTGTTTTCGTTTTGGTAAGATTCATTTTTAGGCCTATTTGTTCAGATTCCTTGGCTAGTTCGGTTAGCATAGTTTGTAGTTCTTCAAAACTTGATGTTATTATTACTACATCGTCTGCATATCTTAGATGGTTTAGTTTCTTTCCATTTATGTTTATTCCCATGTTTGTCCATTCCATTGTTTTGAAAACATCTTCCAGTGCTAATGTAAATAATTTAGGAGAAATAACATCGCCCTGTCGCACTCCTCTGTTAATTGGTATAGGTTTTGTGTTTTCTTCCAATTGTACTGTCATTGTTGCTTTCTTATATATATTGTGTATTAGCATTCTGTATCTGGAATCTATTCTACAGTTGTTTATAGCTCTTTCTATTGCCCACATTTCCACACTATCAAAAGCTTTCTCATAGTCAACGAATGCTAAATGCAGATCTAAATGATATTCGTTAGCTTTCTCTATCAGTGTCCTAATTGTTAAAAGATGGTCAGTGGTGCTATATCCTTTTCTGAATCCTGCCTGCTCTACTGGTTGATATGAGTCAAGTTTGTGTGCTAGCCTGTTGTTGATAATCCTCATGAATAATTTGTACGTTTGTGACAGCAGTGAGATGGGTCTGTAATTTTTTATGTCCTTTTTGTCTCCTTTTTTAAATAGCAGGATTGTAAGACTTTCGTTCCATTCGTCGGGTATTTCTCCTCTATGTAGACACTGGTTAAATAGATTTCGCAGTGTTTGCAAGATTTCTTCTTTCCCTTCTTTCAGCATTTCAGCAAGGATTCCATCCGGTCCCGGTGCTTTATTGTTCTTTAATTGTAATAATGCTACCTCTATTTCATAATTTTCTATTTTTGGCAGTGTTTCTGAGTTTACATTAGTGATTGTTTTTTTAATATATTCTTGTGTGTTTACGTTTGCGTCTTTCTTTGAGGTGTATAGCTCTTTATAAAATCTTTCTACTTCTTCCGATATCTTATCTTTTCTCCTTTCTTCCCTTCCTGTTTCATCCTTTATTGAAATGAGTAGAGGCTTCCCTAAATTTGGTCGTAAACATTTTAGGCCCTTGTTTCTCTCAATTACTTTCTCAATTTCATTTTCAGTGTTCTTAAACGATCTTATTTTCAGCGTGCTCCTTTTCTGATTCCTCTAACATTGAATCAGTCAAACAAAAATAGTGTCACTAAAGGTATACTACATAGGTCGAATCTTGTGTTTTCGGAAAACAGTCGCCCGCACGCACAATATTCAGAGGTCAACTGAGAGTACCGTACAAAATAGGAGAATTCATAATTGGCCAATGACGTGAGCCGTTGGCGTAAACTTTGTCGGATCAATATTGGCCCATCATACCAGTTGAGTGTTAATATTGAGAGCAAACTAAACGTAAAGTCAAATACCTACCATGTGGAGATAAGAGTACCATAAGATATTTTTTTCCGGTTTTTTCCTTATGATTTACTATATGATTACTATCAGAAGAATATTACTGTCATCATTACATGTGTATTCTTAAAGGTAAAGTTGATTGCATGAAATCGAATAAACTATCTTCTAATAAACTCGTTTCAAGGACGCAACTCAAAAATATTGACTATTTTTCCTTTTTTATGTATGTTTCTCTCATGATTATTGATGCCTCTTTACATCATAATCAGAGCTTGTTGAGACAGGCATGTTGGCATATCTGTTATTTGTCAAAGTTACTGTTTTTGATATATGTTTTAAGCTCGTTTATCCTGATACGTCGTAGTCTTGCGGTTTTCCTCACAAATAAAAATGGTTGCATTCACAGGCTATTTTATAGATATAGTTCTTTGATTTTTCTTGTGTATTGTAGGGTTTATACCAGCCAATAATAGTAACTCAACTGTAATAATACTAACAAATACACCAAACCAAAAATGAACCAATTCAAATCACTGGAAAACAAAATATATAAAACACTTTACAAATTTAAGGAATACCTGACAGGCTACCAAAAAAGAACACTAACGTCATACTACAGCAGGACACCCCACCTATAATGAGTTTTAAACATACACAAGGAGAAGGTATCTCCCAAACAAATTTGCAGCAGCAAGGTTCTTCCTTGCAGCAGACTTTTAAAGTTTAAATGACCAGGTACAAACAAATATACGAAGGGTGTTGAACTTGGGCTGGATCATCGGGCTTCGGGTTAAAAAAATTGCAATCTTCTAAGCTTGGCTTTTCAAAACTTCATTAAAAATACGATGGCCTCTTATATCGTTGTAACACTTTACAAATCTTCAATTTAGAACATAATACAACACATATAACTTTCCACAAACAAGATCTGTCGGCTTTCTAAAGATTACACGCCGAGCTCTTAGATGCCACCACACTACACATTTTCACATGGCAAAAGACAAAAAAACCAAAAAACATTACGAATTTAAAGAAAAATTCGGACTCCAATAAAACTATAAACGCTTATGACAGCGGTTTCACCAACAGTCATGAAATTATCCTCAAACATTGATCGCATAACTTAAAATAACAAAACACTTAAACGATGGTTAAAACGCAAATCCTTTATGAGAAAACGCAATTCAAGCAGTTCGAATAAAACATTAAGAGAAATACCGAAGAAATAATATCTGTAAAATATAAACAAACTATTAAATGGTTTATATTCTCGAGCAAACTTAAGAAGGAATTGAAAACATATTTGGGTTTTAATACGTACGAATAGGTAACTGAAATGCATTAAAATACTATTTGATTTTTTAAACATATATGAGGGGATTTCAATATATTACATATACTAGGGGATTCCAATATACACCAAAAAATCAATAAATTGCAAATGCTAATATATATATATATATATATATATATATATATATATATATATATATATATATATATATATATATATATATTCAAAGTACAAAATATAATAATTCAAATAATTCGACTAATAAACTATAAAAGATATTTCGAAGAAATGAAAGTCCATTATCCTGGATTACCTGTAGTAAACAAAATTTAAAGATATGCATAAATTATTTTCTTTGTAAAATATATTCAAGTGACGTGAGTGAGCTTAAGTGAAATCATGAACAATGCGAGCGGGTTTTCCAAATGGACTTGTACAGTGAATAATACAATAGAATAGAATATTTAGAAAATATATTTCTCCGTTAGTTCTTAAGAATTTGTAGAAACCGATTAGCATGTTAATAGTTTTAGGAAATTTATAATTGTAGGTAAAAGTGTTGTTTCTTATCTAAATGAAGATATGGGGATATGTGTGACGAGCTTTGATTGGAGGAGATTGAAAAATGTGGGATAGGTATGTAAGAATGAGAGTTTAGCTAGATTTTTGAGAGAAAAAAAATCAGGTGTTTTCCAAGGGTGCAAGGCAAACAGTCGTTGTTTTCTGTTGGTTTCCCAGAAGTAGTAGGCAGTAGAAGTGAATGTTTGTGAGTTTTCGTGGAGTAAGTGTATCTGACAGAAGCTAATCCAGTAAAATATTGTAAGTTATATTTTTCTACTTATATTCCAAAAGTCACTGTTCAGGCCAGAACGAGAGATTCAGTTTATTGAGAGGAGAAGAGACTAGCATAATTTGAACGATACGTGCATTTGAAGGAGATTATTAAAGACGATAGGCTCGCACAATTTATTGTAAGATTGCTGATTACCTAGGGGACTGCTAAGAATAGATAGTGTAGGCTACAAGGAACAAGGATTTGGACAACTCATCATCAGAAAGATAATTTTACTATTCGTCAGTTTTTCTTTAATAACAACACATTTTTTTAACAATTGCTTTAGAAAAGATAGGAATATTTTGATCAGAAGATTTAGAACAACAATTTTGATTTGAAATTTTAATTTATTTTGTATATACCAACAATTTTTGAAAGTTCACGTACGTAGAACAAAAGTTTGATAATCATTATATGAGATATTTTTTTATTGAATATATTTGAGTGTGAATTTTATTTCAATATATAATGTTGTATCATATATGTTTTTTATTATTCCGGTATTCTTTGGACCTTACCTATCATAAAACCCAGAGATAAGAGAATTAAATAGTGTGATAGAATCTTAGCTGAATCATTTAAATAAGTTTAATTGATTAATTAATAAGCTAATTAATTGCTTGGCGCACCTCAGTACTTTGAATATCACAATAACGTATATATATATATATATATATATATATATATATATATATATATATATATATATATATATAACGATTTCTGAAGTGGAAACTAAAATTGAACCTTTAATTGTGGCTTATTCCCATTTAAATAGTAATTACTTTAAACGTCACAAGAAAATAGCTTCAGAACAATATCATGGAGCTACTAACACTTAGCACTGACAACACTTCATTGGAAAATTTTGGGTATTAGTACAAAATAGAACAAAATAGAAGTAACGTCCCTTTTTCCGAGACCAAACATTTCGAAATAAACGATTTAAATTAAACGGCACTTATATACACAACTTTTTGTTGGGAGGGTTTATGTTCTAAATATTATAATTAGAATCTTATCTTATTAAAATTATCAAATTTTAAACTAATAATAAAGTACATAATTATAGTAAAACATTATTAGTAGTAGATATATTGACAGTACCTAAGTCTTTTCTAGTCTGATAAGAGATAAAATATGATTGTGCAACATTGTTTACCAAAAAATATACAAAAGAGACGCTGGTACAAAATTGCATGAGATTTAACTATTATAATACAAGAATTATTCGAAAATGTGTGAGAGTATTAAAACATTTCTGTTTTTAGCTTCGTTGGTACTTTATTTCACTGTTTTTCTTTCCTTTAAATCGACCGATCTGCAAGTGGATAATACGAATTTAGTAGCAGTTGCTGTGGTATGTATTGATTAAAATTTTCGATCTCTTTTACTGTAAATCATAACCGATGAGTAATTATAAGTTATCCTTCAATAATAATAAAGTCATGAAAATTATGAATTGTAATTTAAAAAAATATTCTTTTGAAGATAGTTGCCATTTTTTTAACTTTTTCCTATATTTTTGGTTTTATTACCTGTTTATATTCAATTCGATGCTAAAAGATTAGATTTTTAAATTTAATTCTTGTTTGCTAAAATGAGACACAAGTATACAAAACTTCATCAATAGGTAAATATTTTTGAAAAAAACTAAACTTTGGATAAATAAATTGCCTCTAAGTATAGTAAAATTTGGTAATTTTTGAATTTAAGTAAAGACGAAATTATCGTCTTTTTGATAAAAACCAGCCTTTTCCAATATCTCCTAATTCTAGATTAAAAATTCAAGTCTCCTCTCTTCCTAAAATTTATACATATTGTTATGTATTTTGGTACCAATGCTTATTTAAGATATATATCGTCCTATTACTGCCACAACTCACTAACCAACATTTTTGAGAAAATCGGAATAACTTAATCACTAACTGTATTTTAAAGTAAATAATCTATGGAAAAATTCATTAACTACAATTTGTAACGTTATAGAGATTTTTCTTACACTGAATAATCACTAAGTACAATTTGTGCAATATATTTTAAATGCAAAACTAATCAAGTGAGTTAGTGAACTTCACTGAAATCCAGTTTGACAGTTGTCGGTGAAATCGTAAATCCAAAAGCTCACTAAAATCAGTTTTAGCTTTTACTTTTAATGGGTTTAGTCACTTTGTTATTGTTATTATTAAGCGCAGTTAAGCGGCAGTTTCACATAGCAGTTCACTGTTGTCGCAATGACTTTTAACGGTGGAGATATATCTACTGCGATGGGTTTTACTGTTATCTACTGATTCACTACTCCTATGTTCAAATGAAACAGTCAGTTTTTGAAAACGGCGCCGAATAAAAAAATGGTTGTAGCTCGTGTAACTACTTATTTATTATTATTGAAGAAAAAATTATTATTGAAAAAAAGTACTCTTTAGACGGCAAGCATGTAGCTATGCGCGAACCTGCGAATGAGGGATCCTACTACTGCAACCACAAAGGATTCCACATTCTGGTTCTTTTGGCACAGGTGGATGCAAATTACAACTTCATTTATGTTGACTGTGGTGGAAATGGAAGAATTTCTGATAGAGGAGTATTTAGAAACAGCTCATTATATGCCGTTGTTAATGGTAATATTTTCTTACAAATTTCTCCACCTGAACCTTTATCGGAAAAGACGAAACCTATACCTGATTGCATTATTAGTAATGATGCTTTTGCACTTTGTAATGATGTACTAATTTATGCACCGTAGAATCTATAATAGTGTGTTGATGTGTATTACTACACCCAGAGACTCCTGTAAATTTTGAAAATAGAACAACAATGAACGTGTTACCAAATATTGGTCATGTGGGAGGAAATTTTTCAAAAAATTTTGCTAGGCAGATCCGAGACGAGTTTGCAGATTATTTTTATTTTGAAGAAGATATAGACTTTCAATGGACGAATATATAATTTTTATATGTCAGTGCATCAAAAACATGTAATTGAAAAATATCAAATAAAAAAAAAACATTCCTGTGTTAGTTTCGTTTCCAAATTAGAAATAGTTTTTCGAGTAATTATAACACCGTTTAAAAATTGCATATGTTCAAACCATGACACTGTTGGACAGTAAATATCATCTGTGCTCGTTCATGTTCGTTGGCTATCATGGATTTTCTTTTTTTCTAATCGATACGTTGCTCTTATGGAAGCTATCTTCTTTTTACGGTTTCTTTATCTATATTAATCTTTTCCGCAATTTTTGCAATTGCATCCTTTCTCTTCACATTATTCTTGTAAAATGGTGATTTTATATTCCATAAGCACTCATTGGCGGTATAATTCGATTAATAAAAACGTTTTCTTGTCCGAAAACGCAATGCGTTTTACAGATTTCGCCATTTTTATTTTATAAATAAGTTACTGCGATAGCAAAACTAGAATTATTTCTACTTATCGCAGTAATTCTCATAACAATCCACTGCGCTCGAAGTGGTGTGATTCACAACAAAGAACGGGTGACAGTCAAACCACGCCTACCTAAAAGTCGCTGCGATAACAGTCAACTGCTATGTGAAACTGCCGCTTTAGTGATTTTGTCCATGACCTGGAATCTTATATGAATGACTTGGTTCATTCCCCCATCACTTTAACACCAGCGAGTTAATAAAGAGAAATGACAGCCTATCTCTCTCACGAAGACTTTAACCAATCATAAAGCAAATAAAATAATCAAACGAAGCAATGTTAATTCTGTCAATCCAAAGTAATGACAGATCTTCAGTTTGTTTACAAATTTTCAATTTTATTTTATTATCTTTAACTTTCGTTTGCGTTTATTCTTAGTAATTTCAATTTAAATTTGGTTACTTAATTTTTAAAGTTTATTTTGAGTTACCTTTTGTAGCAACGAATTTTTGTGTTGTGCTAGTAACAAAACTAAACATGGTGAATTATTGTATTGTTCGTTGTGTACAAATCATGGAAAAATTACAAAAAGGATGATAGTAAGTTGTCAGGAAGCAAAAAATAATAGTATTTAACTTCTGCAACTATGTCAAATAAATATTATGTAATTATATTATAACTGTTTCGAAACGAAACGAAAATTTCCACCCAGGTGGGATTCGAACTCACGACCTTTAGGTTTAAAGGCAGGCGCTCTTACCACTGAGCCACAGAGGGGGTCTATCTATTTCTACTATTATATTATTTATCTATGATTTTGTCGCAATGAGTGAAACTCGTGGTGAACATTAAAATACAAAATTAGGTGAATTAAACGTTGTAAATAAAAAAAAAAAAAACTTAAAAGGTTAGAGTAGTCACTTGAATATTTTTACCGTGTAGGCATAATTTATAGAGGAAAAAGAATTCTTGAAATCGTAAAGAAAAAGGTAAGTTAAAATATAACCTCAAAAATTGTTGAACTGGTATTAACTCAGAATGTTTAATGTTTATTATTTCTTATAACCAGAGTATGTAAAATTAATTTTAGTTTTATTTGTTTATTTATTTCTTCCTTTGTCAGTAGTTTTGACAATTCACAATTATTCACATGTCACATGTTAAAAACAAAAGAAACATTGTATCATTATAAAAAAATTATATTCCTTTTAGAACTCTGAAGTAGCAATATCGGACAGTATAGTACCATTTCAATTCAGTAGTAAAGAAAGTAGCACACCAGTGAAAAATACATCCTTGAGTTACTCATTGGAAATAAATAACTGTTCACCTGAAAGTTAAGTTCTTCCTTCTTGTAGTAAAGCATTGCCTTACAACATTACAAACGCAAGAGAACATGATGTGCTACATAAAATTGATGAAAATAGTTGTTTAAGTATCTATTATTCCTTGTATTTCTTACGATATTTTCTTATCTTTGTCATAAGCGGTACATGTAGGGGAGAGTGGGGTTCATTGAAACAAAAAAAATTTAATAATAACATAATTAAAAAATTATACGAAGAAAGTTGCGTTTCGATTTAATTTGAGTCTCTTACCACTCCCTAATACGTGTTTGTGGGTCTACCCATCATCAGAAGGATGATGGGTAGACCCACAAACACGTATTAGGGAGTGGTAAGAGACTCAAATTAAATCGAAACGCAACACGCAATCGAAGATTCAAACCAAATCAAAACGCACCGATTACTCTGGCAATTACATGAAAATAACTGCCAGAGTATGCAACAGAAAATGAACATACGTCGATAGCAATTAAAGTAAACTGTATACCCAAGCTTAATCAAGCCATTCAGAGCGGTGCTGGATATAAATTATATTCCACTATGCACCAACAATTTACCCATATAAATTACTATCAATATTGTACTTATTGCGTCGAGTAAGGACGATAAATATATGATACGATACATATGATGGAATTTATATGGGTAAATTGTTGGTGCATAGTGGAATATAATTTATTCCCAGCACCTTTCTGATTGGCTTGATTAAGCTTGGGTATACAGTTTACTTTAATTACTATCAACGTATCTTTAAAAAAATTATATTTGCCATAAAATTGAAATTTTAATGTGCAAATTTAAAATCGTTTTGCGTAAAGGTAGCCTTGGCATTGATCTATTAAAAAAATTACTAGAAAGATACAAATTTTAAGAGGTAAAAGAGTATTCTTATATTATTATTTTTGGAAAAATCGTTTCACTGTACCCCGTATAGGGCACTGTGAAATGGGATACGGTGAAACACAATAAATTAAACTTAAACATATAACTAAATACGTAAGTAGGTAGGTATGATATTTATCAAAATTATACCACACTGTAAGTATTTACTTTTGGTTTGCCCTAATTGGGTAGGTTCAGGCATTACAAATACAATGTCGTCTTCCGACAGAAGAGCCACAGACAACGGCATAAACGTGCTTGGTCAAGTAACATACACTGAGAAATTAGATATGACTCTGTTTAACTAATTAATTAAAGTAAATTGGGATATTTGGATTTATAAATAACGTTTCATTTGTAAAAAGGAAAATAATTTAATAGAGCTTAATTTTTCAAAAAAAAAAAAAATAATAATAACACCTTAGTTGATATCTGAGTATTGATTGATTGATCGATTATTATTTGATTTGATTATTTGATATTTCCTACAGATTTGTTTTTTAAGTTCGGCAGCGCACATTTCTAAGTTCTTTTATTTGACAACAATTTAATCGTTATACAATTGTTTGTTAACTTTAATTAGCATATCATACGGAAATAAACATATAAACAAAAAGGGAAAAGAATTTAATGGAGCTTTGGAAGATAATTGACCGTGGCGTCAGAAAATCTTTTTCACTATTTTGGAATGATTTCCACGAACATATGAGTTCGGGAATGGATCCATTATGGAACAGTCAAGATT